CAACCAAAACAAAAAACAAAAAAAACTCACACTCCTAGATGACTTAACTAGTTTTCAAAGAAATACTAAACTTATACAAACTTTCAAAAAACTGAGAAACCAAGAACACTTTCCAAATTGTCTTATGAGCTAAGCATATCATTCCAGAATATAAAAAAATTAATAGGATAGGTAAATTAAAGGCCAATCTTTCTCCTGCACGTAAACAAAAAACTGCTGAACAAAATATAAGCAAATCAAACCAAACTATATATATTAAAATACACAGGAACAACTGGATTTATACACTAATGTAGTATTGGTACCTTTAAAAACTAACCAATATAATCCCCACAGTAACCAAATACAGAAGTTAAATCATCTCAACAAAACATATATAGAAAAAGCTTTCGATAAAAGTTAACTCCTATGCAAAGCAAAAACTCTCAACAGACTAGGACTAGAAGGAAAACTACCTTAACCTAAAAGAGTAACAATACAAACAAAAAAGCTGCAGCAAACTTCAAACTCATTAGTAAAATATTGAATACTTCCTCCTGAAATCACAAACCAGACAAAATTCTATTTTCACCACTTGAATTCAACATTTTATGGAAGATCCTCTCCATTGCATAATACAAGAGAAAGAAATAAAAGACATAAAGTTTGGAAAGGAAAAAAAAAAATCTGTCATTATTTGAAAATAAGGTTATGAAAAATTCAAAGAACTTACATGTAATCTAGAATAAGTGAATATATCAAGATCCTTAAATACAATATCAATATAAAAAAATCAATTGTATTTCTATTCTAGTAACAAAATTAGAAAACAGAATTCTATAAAAAGCTTATCCACAAACATCACTCATAAATAAATGTATAAAACCCACAAAGAAAATGAGCCTTGACCCATACCTCAAGAAACACAAAATAATCAGTATCAGATGGATCATAGACTAAAATATAAAGCATAATGATATGCTTAAAGATTATAGAATATAACACAAGAAAATATTTTCATGACCTTGGGGTTAAAAAAAAAACTTGTTTAAAGGAACACAAAAAAGGACTCTTATAAAGAAAAGTTTAATTAACTGGACTTCACTAAATCTAAGAAATTCTTTTCAATAGAAGCCACAGAAAGGTAGAAATATTTTATTTATTACACACACACACACACACACACACACACACACACACAATCTCCAGCAAAGGACCTGTATCCAGAATGTACCAATAAGTCAGACAACCCACTCTCAATTCCCCACCCACTCCCAACCCCCCAACCTGAGACTATGCCCTTCAAGAAAAAAAAAAAACCACGGGGTGCCTGGGTGGCTCAGTCAGTTAAGCGTCTGTCTTTGGCTCAGGTCATGATCCCAGCATCCTGGAATCGAGCCCTGCACTGGGCTCTGTGCTCAGCAGGGAGCCTGCTTCTCCCTCTCCTTCTGCTTGCCTGCCTACTTGTGATCTCTCTCTCTCTGTGTCAAATAAATAAAATCTATTAAAAAAAATCTAAGTTATATACAGTGATATAAAAATGGGCTTAAGTTAAAGAGTTATCAGAAAACGTAAAGTGAAATCATAATTCAGTATTACTCACCCACCAAAAAAAAAAAAAAAGGCTAAAGTTAAAAAAAAAATAATCAAGTGTTGGTGAGTTGTGAAGCAACTGGGAACTTCATTGTTGGTGGGTATATTGGTAAAAATTGGCAAACTGGTAACCACTTGGGAAATTATCTGGCACTATCTACCAAAGCTGAAAAGGCCTACCCGATGACCCAGCAATTCCTCCTACGTTTATATCAAACACAAATGAGTGCCTCTGTCTTCCAAAAGACATGTACAAGAATGTTCATAACAACATTATTAACATAGCCAAAAACTATAAACAACTTGAATACCCACCAACATTAGTATGAATAAATAACTTGCGGTATATTTATACAAAGAAATACTGTGAACTAATACAAAGATGACTCATACAAGCATAATGTTGAGCTAAATAAGCCAGAAAGAAGAGTATTTTTTTATATAATTCCATTAAGATAAAATTCAAAAACAGGCAAAATAAATCAACAGTGATAAAGTCAGCTGGTTGACTAGATGGTTAATATGGAGATGCTTATTCACAAAGAGAAGGCAATGGGTGCCTATCTTGGTCTGCATAATGGTTACACAAGTACATGCAAATGTAAAAATCCACTGAGTCAGGTATGCATAGAACTCAATTTTTTTAAAAATTTTAAGACCTCAAAATAAATATATTTTCAGACAAATAAAAGCAGACATTTTATCATCAGCAGACCTGATGAAACAGTAAAAGGAATTTTTAAGTCAAAATGAAAATATTATCAAAGGGAAGTCTGTGAATGTAAAGTCTGTGAATGTGAAGGAATAGGGACAGTAGTTTTTGAGGTTTTAAATATATGTACAACTAAAGACATAACAGCAATGACCCAAAAAAGGTAGAAATCAGGTAAATCAGAAGTGGCAAAATACAAATTTACCAAGAATACATGTGGCAATCTCCAGGGAAAACAACAAAAAGTAAAACTAAGAAATTAATAAATGAGGGAGAGAATAATTTAAAATACTCCATTACCAGGAATTGAGAGACACATAATACAGAATGGGCAAGACAAATAGAAAACAAATAGTAATAAATAATTCCATTACATATCAACTGACTCCAATTAAAAGATGAGATTATCAGACTAGAATAAAAAACAAAAACTGGGGGACCTGGCTGGCTCAGACGGTAGAGAATGTGACTCTTGATCTTGGGGTCATGAGTTCAAGCCCCATGCTGGAGGTAGAATTTACTTAAAAAAAAAAAAAAAGGAAAACCTATATTCTACTTAACAGTAAACATACCATAAGATTAAAGAAAGCTAAAACTGTAAGGATGAAATAAGATATTTAATGCAAATACTAATAAAAAGAGCTAGAATCATTCTATTAATATCAAATTAAGAAAAATTTAACTCAAAAAGCATTACTTAGAGACAACAAGGATCATTCCATTATGATAAAAGAGTTAATCACCAGGAAGATATAATAACTTTATATTTGTCATCAGTGAAAACTAAAAGAAATAAACAAATCCTCTCTAAGGAAATGACAGATCAAGGGGAGAAAATAACAAAGGAAGGATGTGAAAGATTTAAACAAGGTTAATGATTTTAACCTAATTGATATTTATACAACAATTCACAGCAAATTTCAAAGGACCGAAATCACACAGTGACTGTTATGGAATTACACTGCAACTCAGTAACAGAAATATACTCAGAAAACCCTCCAAGTATTTGGAAATTGAACAACAAACTTCTAAAGTAATAGATAAAAGAAAGAAAGAAAGAAAAAGAAGAAAGAAAACACAATGGAAATTTGAAATCACACTGTATTTTGAGCAAAATTAACAGTGAAAATATGACATATCAAAACTTATCAGCTGTAGCTAAAGCTGCTTAGAGGAAAACGTATAGCCTTAAATACACATTTTAAAAGAAGGGCTAGACATCAATGCTCTAAGTATCTATCTCCAAAAGTTACAAAAAGAATAGCAACTTAAAACCTAAGAGAGTAGAGTCGGCTTCCCCTTCTGCCCTTACCCCCGCTGCTGCTCGCTCTAATAAATAAAATCTTTAAAAAGAAAGAAAAAGAAAACCAAAGAGAGTAGAAGGAAGAAAATATTAAGAGCAGCAATTACTGAAACAGAAAACAAATCTACAATAGAAAAATTCAAAAAGCAAAGGTTAATTCATTGAAAAAATAATAAAACTGATAAAGCTCTAGCATGATAAATGAAAAGAAAGGAGAGGCAAAAATAAATATAGTAGTAACTGAAAAATTAGATGACATGGGTGAACTTAGAAAACTGACACATAGAAGGAAAATCCAAACAGTCTGATTTTCCACTAAAGAAATTAAAACTGTCTCACTGGCAACTTCCAGGCCCAGTGGTTTCACAAGTGAAATTTTCTAAGCATATAAGGAAGAAATAATAACAATCTTCCCAAACTCTTCCAGAGAAGAGTAAAAGAGGCCAGCATAACCAAAATACCAGAATGTGATCAGGATTTTCAGTAGGAAAATTACAGGCCAGTTTCTCTCCAAGAATCTGAACACACACACACACACACACACACACACACACACACACACACACAGCAAGCCAAGTGCAATGAAACATAAAAAGGATAATACAAAGTTGGGCTTATCTTAGAAATGCAATGTTAGTTTAACATTTGAAAATAAATCGTTGTAATTCAACACATTAACAGAGTAAAGGAGAAAAGACTTAAGTGTCTCAAAAGATGTTGATAAAACATTTTCTTAAAATCCAACACAATTCATAATTGAAAAAGTAAAATCAGCTAGGTTGCTAGATATGAAGTCAAACAAAATTCCATTATATTTCTCACTACTAGCAAAAAAACAACTAGAAAATGAAATTTAACAATTTTAATTAAAATAACAAAGAATATCATATTCCTTCATCAACTGGGTGACTCAGTATTAAGGAATCAATTATCTACAAACTAATCTCCAGTTTCAGTGCAATCCTAATCAAAATTCAAGCAGATATATGGGTGTGGATTTTTAAGAGTAATTCTGAAACTGAAACACTCATTGTAAAATTACATGAAAATATCAAGGGCCAAGAACAGAGGAGGAGAGGGAGGAAGCTAAAGAACATACACTACCAGAGACTGAGACTTCTTAAATCTAGAGTATGTAAGACTGTGTGGTACTGGCACAAGGAGAGACACATAAACCCATGGAACAGAAGAGTCCAGAAGCATACTCAAACTTACACTGACAGACGAAGAAAAACTTCTTGGAAAAAAATTCCATGTAGAAATATTTCATTCAAAACACTAATATATATTTTCTGATTGATCATATCAATTATGACAGCAAGGAAATCATGTTTCAGTTAAATTCTCTCACAAACTGTATAAAATTACTTCCAAAACAATTAGCAGAACTTTTATAAAAACTTTGTCTCTTACCTCTCCAAAAGCTCCTCGACCTATCACCTTCAATATCTCAAAGTCTTCTCTATGTAGGCGCATCTGTTTTACTTTAGAAGTAAATGGTTTGGCTGAAATAAAAGAAAAACATCAATTAGTTTCTTAATGAATTGTGATGCAAATTAGATATATACATAACGGCTCTTAATAAAAATGCAAATTATGATTAAGCATGAAGTCAAACTATTTCATAATCCCATCAAACTATATTAAGAATAAATACATTTAATTTCCATAAGAAAATAATTTCCTTTATTTCTCGCATGTGAATTACGTTTTTGGTGAGAAACATATTTTTAAACACCTAATAACATATGAAATAAGGCAAAGTAACAGAAATGTACAAAGGAGTCCAATTCCTTTTCGTGTTGAACACTGTGTATATTCTAACACTCAATGCTAGACATATATTTTAACACAAATGTCTGAGAAGTAAAAGCAAATTTTATGGGAGAGGGAGTTTCAGCAATTCCCACCAAGTAAATTCAGATTTCTTTCACACTCATTCATTTATTTACCCTTTTAACACTCCTTTAGCAAGACTCTACACTATATAAAGCACAGTGGCAATCACTGGAGTCTGAACAATTACGAGTAAAATATGATACCTTCCTTCAAAAAGTTCTCAGTCTTCAGGGCAGACAGACATAAACACACAAACAAAATGTAACAATGGGATGAAACTTCTAATAGAGGTAAATATAAAGTGCTTCAAGATAGGTGAGAATGGAACACTAATACTTCACAGACAAAGTAACACAGGAACTGGACCTTGAGGACTAAGTAGAATTTTGCTACTTTGCCTGGGTTTGCAGTGTAGACATTCCAGGCACAGGGAGCAATATAAGCAAACGAAGAGAGGCAAGAAAATGACAGTTGAGGTGATAACAGTCAATACTCCATTGTTGTTATACAATTTTGAGAAGAAATACAAAGAAATGGGACCTAGAAAGTGAAAAATGTAAATGGCCTTGAATACCATACAAGGTATTAATAATAGGGGATAAACTGACATTTTTTTAAATCATAAAATCAATGTATGTTCTGCTGCCTCTAAGAGAAATGTAGACCTATCTTCCTTTCCTGCCTTCATGTCCCTTTTCATTCTCACGCAAAAAGGAGCAATATGACTAAAGGGTCATTATATACAGACACAGCTCTCTTCCCCTTCCTTCCATGGAGCAAGAGTAATATTTATTTGAGCATTAGGAGAATGAACTAGGCAAGCCAGTCCTTACAACTTGATTTGTTCTGAAGGTATTTAGCCCGACTAGCTAATTTAGAAAAGAAGGGTATTCCAAATTGCATATCTCAGTCTAGTAGAGACTTCTGTGATGGTGTTTTAGAAAATAAGGAAAGGATACAAAGATTGGCTATTTGGAATTCACAAGAGGAGAATATGATCAAAGGAATATCATATTTAAATGAAGGTATGGAGGCTCTCATCCTAGGAGAAAGAGAACACAGAAAACAATGGCACCAAATGAAGTGAACACTTTGATAAGGTGACTAAGGCACATTGGTTTTTGAACAACCCAGACTGGAAAACTTGTTGAGACTATGGTATACAGGGTTCCAAAAGGAAATACATCATCATAATTGGAGGAAAGTTTATTGACAAATAAACTATCTGCAAAGATGTAGGTGGGATATAAGGGTACCACAAGGAAGAGTAAGTAATCTATCTAGCAGAATGAGTACTGCTATATATCTAGCAGTAATCTGAGACTAGTGTCCCTCCCTTTCCCAGCTTCTGTATCAGCATTTCAGAAATACATGGTTAAGATGGGTTGGTATAAAATATATAAATTAAAAATGAAGATGTGGAGCCAGCCAGTATGCGTCTAGAGCTGGTCTAGTTGCCAGCTATAGCTAAAAAACACCACACAGCGGCCTACAACATAACATTTAGCAGTTCTTTAAATACATCTTCTATTTTACTTTATATTCCTCCTACCTCAAGACTTTCAAATAACCTGAACCCAAATAAAGTATATGCTCTATATCTTTGTCTCATTACCGATCCTAAATCCAACAACAGCATTTCATCACAGACAACTACAGTTATTTGTAATCTAGGATAATTCCATGTATACCTTCTTTTGAGTAACATCCTACTTATCTAAAAGGTCAAAAATAGCTTTTTCAAACCTCAGAAACACTACTGCAAAACAGGAAAAGAAACTTTTTTAATTTAAATTCAATTAGCCAACATATTGTACATCATTAGTTTTTTATTTAGTGTTCAATGATTCAAAGAACTATTTCTTAAAACTAGAGTAAGTGAAATACAATTGAGAGAAGCAAACGCTTGTTAAAATGATCTTTCAGAAAAGGTACAAAGGATGACAGTATGCAAAAAACCATTTTTCCACACAGTAGCATATACCCTGAAAGCACCACAATGAGTACTATAAAGTCGTATGTAATTAGGGCTAAAGATTTTGTGAGTTTTCCAAGCTTTATGGGAGCCCTGACCATTAACAGGAATTTAAAAAATAATCCTATCTATTCTTTACTTCCTGGACTGCTGGTAAAAATCCCATTTCTTTGACATTGCAAAACTATTCTATTTTAGGCATTCAAAAATGAGTTAAATCACAAATTTCTTCAGGAGGCTCATAGTTTTACTAATCATTTACTCAATTCACTCAAAAAGTATCTTCTAATACCCACTGTATGCCAGCCATTTTATAAGATGCTAGAGATACAAAAGATAAACAGTCCCTGTACTCAAGTAAACAAATTATGCAATAAGTGTTCCTTTTCCATTTAAAAAGTTCAGTGTGAATACAGATGGCTAATAAACAGAAAATGGCACTCAAAAGAAATCAGAGAAATGCAAATAAACATACTAGAAATATTCTATTACTTACTAATCAAATAGGCCAAAAAAAAAAAGTGAAACCACCAGTGTTTGTAGGTGTGTGAAGTATAAATAACAGATATTCTCATACACAGCTGATATTACTGTTAATTACAACCTCTGTGAAGAGAATTTGGTTTTCTATTTCATTCTTTTAATTTGGTATATTACTGAAAAAGATTTTAAAAGTTGAACCATCTTTATATACCTTGGTATAAACCATACTTGGTTGTAATGTATTTAATACACAGATGACATTGCTTTGATTTGATTTATTTTAAAATTTAACATCTGAATTCATAAACAACACTGTCTACAATTATCTTTTTTCTATACTGTCTTCATCTGGTTTGGGACCAATGATAAATCAACCTCATTCAGTATGTTAGTAGCTTTCTCTCTTTCATTCTCTAAATAAAATCCAGGTTGTTTAAAGATCTCAAGGTGATAAACAAAACTACAAAACTTTTAGAAGATGAAAGCAGAGACTCTAAGATCTGATAAAACATGCTAATGAAGATATCTTTTCAGTGGACTTTTAATGATTGACTTCTTTCATATAACTGTCATTTTCATATTTTCTATTTCTCTCTGTGATAACTTTAATTCTATTTTTTTTACAAATTTATATTTTGCATTAAAGTGAAATATTCTTTTCTTTTAAAACTCTACAATATAGATAGGTTTGATCCCTTTTTAAATGCTAATACTGTATATATGGGTCTTTTTTCATTGTTTTTCCTTACCAATATGGCTGGAAGTTTGCACATTTTACAATCATTCTTCTAAATACATAGTATTTAGATGTCCTTGTCTTCCATAAAATTCTGTGAGATTTTGTTTCAGTAGGTTGTTCCCCAAATTCATATAAAATTTCAGAAAAAGTAGAGGCTAGTATTAACCCTTCCCCTCCCACCAAATAACTAAGTTAGACATATTAATAATAGGCAAAAGAGATATTAGGGGGAAAGGCATTAGTAGAATAAAGAGTAAAAGGAATCATACATAGAGCTAAAAAATAAAAAGTCAAACTAACCAGGACATAAAAATGATTCTAAACATGTATAGATTATAGATATACATACATATTCTAACATATACATGTTAGAATAACATAACCTCAAAATATGTAAAGCCAAACTGACAGACATAAAAGAAACAAACTTACCTTCACAGATTCTACTATTAACTCTCTCAGTAATTGATAGCTCAAGCAGGAAAAAAAAAAAAAGCACCATGCATGTAATGCTCCACTTATGAGTTGGAGAATATCATTATAAAACACACAGAACTTCTACAAATTTTGACAACATGCCAAGACATAAAACTACCTCCAACAAATTTCAAAGTACTGGGAACATAAAAACAAAATCATATGAATAGAGTGTAATTAGAAATCAATAACAGAAAAGTTACCAAGAAAAACCATTAGCTCTGATATCCAAAATTATTTTAAAGAAGAAATTAATAAGTAGAAAATATTCAGAACTAATAGTAATAAAATACTATACATCAAAAGTTCTAGAATACAGCCTAAACCAGTATATACTGAGGAGGGGAAAAAAAGCTCTCAATATTTACACTGGTAAAGGACAGCTTAAAAATTAAGGTGTCAAACAGACAATGAAGTATTAGACCAAAAGAATAAACTCAAAGTAGAAGAAAACAAAAAGAAAGCAAAATAAATAAAATTAATTAATTTGAAAATAAGCATATAATAGAAAGGCTCAACAAGGCCAAAGGATGGTTCACTGAAAAAACTGATAAAAAACAAGAGAGTGCCTGCGTGGCTCAGCTGGTTGAACACCTGTTCAGGTCATGATCCCAGAGTCCTGGGATCGAGTCCCACATCGGGCTCCTTGCTCAGCGGGGAGGCTGCTTCTCCCTCTCCCTCTGCTTCTCCCCTGGCTTGTGCTCTCTCTTGCCCACACTCTCTCTCTCAAATAGATTAAAAAAAAAATTAAAAAACAAAAATCTATAGTGGGAATGAGAAATTGGACAAAACTTCAGATGCTGCTGAGGTTGAATGGATTTAGATAGGAAAATATCATTAAAAGTTTATGCAAATAGGGACGCCTGGGTGGCTCAGACGTTAAGCATCTGCCTTCAGCTCAGGTCACAATCCCAGGGTCCTGGGATCGAGCCCCGCATCGGGCTCCCTGCTCATCAGGAAGCCTGCTTCTCCCTCTCCCACTTCCCCCTGCT